GCTGGGTGGTTGAATGCAGATGGACAGACGGACAGGCGCTCCAACACAGCTGCTCCAGCCCTCTCCTCACCCCTCTCCTCCCCTCCCCTCCCCTCCCCCATCTCAATGTCTCTGCCCCTCCCTCAGCTCCCTCACCCCACCACTCCAGCCCACCTTGGACTGGCCAGAGCAGCTGCCCAAGGCCTGCCCTCTCCCGGCCCCTCTTACCCTCTGACCCAGCCGCTGGACGGACAACTGAGGCTGTGCAGTAGACATACCCCTGCAGCTCAGCTCAGCCTCCCACGCCCGCCCTGCCCTGGGCCTTGGTTTCCCACCTGTGACAGGCATGAGGCTCTGGCTGCCCCGGGCACGAGGGACAGTCACCCAGGTGACTCTGGAAAAGACCGTGGTCTCCAGCTTGCAGCCATCCCGATCCAGACCTTGCAGCCCTCACACCTTGTTGTTAACCTCGGAAGGTCTGAGGCCTACAATGGGTGGTCAGGTGTATCCCCCACCCAGGGTTTGCCTGTGGACCCACTGCCACAGCAGCCCTGCCCTCTCCCTCCCTCCAGGGCCGGCCTCTCCTCCAGGCACTTGGGGGCAGTCCTGGGAGACCCCAGTCCCGGTGAGCCTGCGTGACAGACGTGGGCACTGGGGGCACGGGGCCTCACCATTCCTGCTCCTTCCCGTGGTGAGGCCACCTCCTCCGGGAGCCCCGTGGGACTGTCCCAGGGGGCGGGGCACCCACCTTGTCGCGGATGCCCTGCCGCATGGCCTCGCGCTCCGCCTCCATCTTGGCGTACTTGGCCTTGCGCTCCTCTTCCTCCTGCCGCAGCGCCTCCTGCCGCTCCTCCTCCTTCTTGGCTGCGTCGGGGTCCTTCTCCTCATCACCCCCTAGCATCTTCCCCATGTCCTTGGTGGCCCCTGGGCACAGGAGGGCACCAGTCAGCCAGGCCCCAGCTCTGCGGCCTGCCCCACCCACCCGTCCCTTTTCTGTCCCTGGGCAGTGCGGCTGTGTATGTGTGTGTGAACCCAGGGGTGGTGTGTCTGTGGATATATGCGTATGGCTGTGCGTGTGTGATTGTGTATCTGCATGGTTGTGTGTGTGTGTGGGCCCCGCGGGGTGGTGTGTGTCTCTGGGTCTGGGTGCAGCAGGGGCTCAGCCTCCGCGGGGCAAGGGGGCCAGAAGCGCCCAGGATGGGCTTGTGGCGGGCCCCTGGGTGTGCCAGGCAGGGCAGCCGCTGGCCTGGAGCTGCTGGCAACTGCTCTGGTCACGGCAGCAAGGCCCTAATTTCTCCGCCTTGCCAGCCACCACTTTCCTCATGAGCTCCTGATTCACAGGCAACAATAAACACCTCCCGGACACACTCCGTGGCTCAGCCCACAGGACAAGACATGTAATTACAGCCTCGGAGCGCAGCCCTGGCCCTTAGCGCCTGGGGAGCACAGCAGCGGCCGCCAGCATCGCAGTGGGAGGGAAGCGCACTGGTTAGCGCTGTGGGTCAGTGATCTCAGCCCCGGGCAGCCGGTCCCGCAGAAGCCCCCACATACCCACACCCCTCGGTAGGGGTGAAGCCAGCTATCCAATCACCCCGGGTGCTCCCTTGGGAGGGGAGCACAGTCTGGGCTGCTCCCCACACCTGCCATCCTGTCTCTGTGTGTCTGTGTGTCTGTCTCTGTCTGTGGTTGTGCATCTGTGGTTGTGTGTCTGCTGTGGTTGTGTGTGTGTGTCCCCCAGCTATGCCCTCCCGTCTATTCCCTGCCGCCCCAACATGGGCTCCGAAGGTCCCACCTCTATCCTCTCACCCTTGACGACCCCTCACATGCGCTGCCCAAGGCTGGCTGAGTCCAGGCTCGGGAACAGGCCCGTGTTTGGAAGGGCCCCCAGCTCTGTCCTGCCCGCTTGTCTCTGAGCCGGTGACCACGCCGCTTTTCCATTCTGAGGCCCGTGGCGCTCCGGGTGCTGTGCCCTGCTCTGTTACGGCACAGGTCCGCGCAACACCGAGTCCAGAGAAACTCCCTTTCCTGCAGATATTTGCACCACATGCTGCCTTTGCCAGGGACTCAGGAGTGAACCCCCCTGCCCCTGCCACCCATCGTGGAAGGCCAGCAGCTGGTGGGGGGAAGGGAACAACTTATGGTTGACTGCTCTGGGCTGAAACTGGACATCCGTCAGGCTGGGCCATGCCTACACCACGTGGGCCCTCCTAGCTGCCGGAAACCACTGCGGAGGGGGGCCAGGGCCCAGGCCAACCTGCCACCACTGTCACGGTGGGGATGGAAGCCTGCCCAGACAGTGGCCAATGGCACAGACACAGATTCTCACACAAACCCAGAGCCTCACGGTCAGTTTCAGACACACCTGCACAACTTTGCAAAGCAGATTTTGAGCCAGTGACTCAAGGGAAAGTAGGTCATAAACCAAGCTGCCGATTGACAGGCTCCTCCAGCAGGTCCCAGGTGACGAGGCCACAGCCTCTCACCCCTGGCACTGCTGTCCCTGGCAGCTGGGAGGGGGAGGCAGGGGCTGGCCCCCGCCATCCAGCCCCCTCCACCTGCACATCCATCGGTGGACCCTTTAATGCAAATGCCCCCAACAAGCTCGTCACACGAACGTGAGAGTGCCTGAAAGCTCTGTCTCCCTCAGGAGAGTGCCTGCATCCCACTCAGTCTCGTCCACATCTCTCTCCTGGGAGGGAGTGCGTAGTTGCTGCAGTGGGGGCCGGAGGGGCCACCCTGACGGGCAGGTTGGAGCCCAAATCTTGCTCCCCCAACACATCATGTGGGCCACAGGCCTGCTGAGCAAATGGGCATTGACTGAGCACCAGCTGTGTGCTGAGCTCTGCTCCACCAGGAGCTGACCCTCCTGGCTCCGGACCCGGCATCCGTGTCCTGCCTCCACTTGACCTCTGGGCTGGCCCACGTGGCCCAAGAGGGGGAGGCAGAGGAGGCCAAGGGAGGAGCCGCCCCAGCAGGCCGAGGGGAGAGCTGGGGGCCGGGTGGCCTCTCCTCGGCCAGGGGCAGCGGACCGGTGTACATTCCCACTGGCGGGCAGGCTGCTGAGCCACTCTCAGTCTGTGTGGGACCTGTTCTTGGGATGTCCACTGCGCCCCGACAGCCAGGGCCCAAGCTTCCAACTGCGGGAGGCTTGGGGTCCAGCAGCTGCCCTGTGCTGACCATGCAGGGGGTAGGGGCGGGAGCCAACGCCCCAGTCCCTTCCCTTGCTCTTCTCTGAGCTTCCACTTCTCGGGTGACTAGTGGAGGGGAACGCACAGGTCGGGGTGGCAGGTCCAAGTGCCTCCTCAGCAGTCAGGTGAAGCTCCGGGGGCACGACCCCCGTGCAGGGCAGGGCGGGGGCACCTTTCTATCCAGGGGTGGGTCCCCTACTGGGGGGGCAGGTTCTGCAGAAGCCCCACAGCTGGACTCCCCACACCTGGAGCAGTGCCCAGCACTTGGTAAGTCTCAGCGAGTATTCGACAAATAGTAAGTTTTTAAAATTTAAGAGACTGATGTCAGGTTCTCAGCCACAAACGAAACCTTAGGAAGCCCTGCAGCTAACATCACAGTCTGCGATGAGGTACTGAGCGCTCTTCAGCAAAGGACGCTCCTGGTCCCCTGGTGCTGGGGGCCTGGCCGTGGCACTAAGGCAAGAGAAGGACGAAAGCTTAAAGATTGAAGAGGAAGCAAAAACTGTCTTTATTAACAAACAACATACCATCTACGCAGAAAATTCGAAGGACTCTACACACCACCGTTGGAACCAGGGAGTGACTCTGGCAAGGCCACAAGCTACGCGGTCAGCTCCACACACGGCAGCTAGCAGCTGGAGGGTGACACTTACAGACGGCGCCACGAGCCATCCTGACAGAGCACGACGTGTCTGTGACTGTGTGTTTAATAGATGCGCAAGCCTGTTTTGCCTGAAATTACAGAATTGCTGCCAGAAGTTAAAACGACCCGAAAGAACAGAGAGACGCGCCGTGTTCACGGGCTCGTCCCTGCCATGAAGTCGGGGTCTTCTGACTGATCCGTAGATTCAGTGCAGTCCCAAACAAAATACAAACAGGCTCTTTTGAATAAATTCACTGCCTGATTCTGAAGTGTACGTGGAAATGGCAGAACGTCTAAAGTAGATGAAACAACTCTGCAGACGGAGAACAACTTCAGAGGACTCAACGCTGCTTGCTTTCAAGATTTCCTGCAGCTGAGACAGCACGGTATTGACAAAGAATTGACATTTGGATCCGCGGAACAGAGCAGGCAGTCCAGAAACAGACCAACTCATACATGGCCAGTTGACTTTTCGACAAAGCTGCAAAGATAATTCAGTGAGGAGAGGACAGTCTTTTCATAAGTGGCCCTGAAACAAGGAGAGGTTCCCACACAAGCAAATGAGCAAGCTTCTCCCCTTGCCGCACGCCTTCCGTGGGGCTCGGTAACAGACGTGATGTGAAAACCAAAAGGGCAGCATTTCCACAGGAAAGCACGAGAGAAGACTCCCCGTGACCCTGACCTAGGTAACGATTCCTGACACAGGTGACAAAAAGCGTGGACCTTGAAAGGAAACTTTGATAAACTGGACTTCACCAACATTAAAAACTTTCGTTCTTCAAAAGACACTGTTAGAAAGAAAGAAAAGAAAAGGCTAGTCTGAGAGAGTGTATTTGCAAACCATGAGTTTGACAGAGGGCCCTTACCCAGAATACGTGAGGAGCTCTCACAGCTCAGCGACAAGAACACGAAACACCTGATTTTCAAGTAGAAGATTTGAACATTTCCCCACAGAAGAGCTACAGACGACAGCTGAGCACGAAGGAGACGCGCTGGCTGTGACGGACAGAGCTGGTCCACGTGAGGGGCCACTAAGGACACAAACACAGTCACGGGCGGCACCACTGCACGGCTACTCAGACGTCGACGGCGAGGGAGATGGGCCACAGCAAGTGCTGGGAGGCCCTGGAGCGGCCAGCACCCTCGGCCACTGCTGGTGGGCGGGTGCGTGGTGTGAGCGGCTTGGCATATTCTTACAAAGTTACATGGGCACCCACCACGTGGCCAGCAACCCCACTCCTAGACATTTACCCAAGAGAAACGGGGACGTAAGTTCACTAACCCCCAGCCGCGGGGATGCGCAGCCTAACCTGTAAAAGCCCACACCAGAGCCACCCCCGTGTCCATCAGCAGGTGAAAGGTGGTCCGTCCACGCAGGGGCACTGGTGCTCACAGCACCCTGGGAGAGTCTCAACATCTTCACATGTGAACAAAGCCAAGCACAAATGATACGATCTCATTTCTGTACACAGAAGAGCAAGCCCGTGCGTGGTGACCACGAGCACATCGGGGCCCAGGGCGGACGGCAGGCGGACTGCAAAGGGGCCGCAAGACAGTCGGAATGCACAGAAAGGGACTGTGCGGCAGTTGCCATGCCTACGTCGCACCGCAACCAAACCGACCGGAGTCCCCAGCAAAACAGACACCAGAGACTGCGCAGACCGTCCGGCTGCTCATCGCCCAGTCAAACCACAGACAAACCACTGGAGAGACGACCAACCCGAACTTTGTAAGTTTCCGTTTTAGAAACATGCACCTAATTAACCCTTAGATTGAGGGGAAATAAAAACTGAAGCTGCAAAAATGCTGGAAAGCAATGAAAAATAACTTTATATCTAAACTTAGGATCCGTGGCTAAAAGTGGTTTGGGAAGAAAACTCTTAACCTTCAGTTTTAAAGAAGGAAAACAGAAAGGATAGGCACTTTACTATTACCTTTTAAAAAACGCTAAAGAAGACAACACGCAATCCAAAATAAGACAGGCAGAGAGAGGCAATGAAGACAAATGCTGCAACTGCAGAAGAAAACAAATAGAAATGACGAGTGGGTGAACCTCCTCACGGAGAATCAAGAGCACAGCGCACAGGCCTGAC